CAGTGTGAGCGGCCATCTGCCGAGGCCGACTGGGGTTCAAGGAGACAGAAGCAGAGATATAAAAGCTTTATTATGATTTCTCTTGAGCAACCAGTGTGGGGTCTTTGGCTCCACTGCAGAAATAAAAATAAACATTTATCTTAAAGATTAAAGAACCTCATCCATTAGTTGCTATATTGGGTATCCTCAACCCTACATTAGTGCTAAGCTCTGCTCAAAAGGAGATTGTTGCCTTTACATCTTTACTGGCTGGACTTCCGTTTACACCAGAAGTCAGATAAATGTCCCTCAATATCCATCTGGGTGAAAGACGTGAGGTTTATTCTGAAGTTTGAGGAAATCAAATATATCCTTCAAGGTTCTACACAGAAGTTTTACCAGAAGTGGCAATGCTTTCTTTTTAATATTTTTAAAACTTTGAAGTTTTTGTCCAACTGAAGGAGCCTGCCATTGCATGTTGTGATAGTTTTAAGTATGGGTTTTCATACCTGATGAATGACATATTCATTTGTTTTTGTCTTTTTCCATCAGGTGGACTTTGAGCTTGGGGGGGTCTTTTTTTACATTTTATTTCTTGTTGGGAATAAAAAAAAAGTGGCTGAAACTGCAGGATTGTAATTTGTAATTTTTCACTTTTTACTTTGGTCCGATGCTTTGTCAGTATTGTAGTGACTTTATAGATTTGTGTGTGATCACAGCAAAATACGAATCGTGTATGTACATATATATGAATATATATCTTTATATGTATGCTTGTATGTATGTATATAAATATATATCTTTTTCCTTTTTTGTTCTTTCCTCTTTTGGCTCCAATAAAAATAATGGAGAAAAAAAAGATCTTTCTGTTCGCTATATTATTACACTTTGTTTTTAATGTATTTTTTTTAGATGTTTGTATAGTAAACCAATTTTTTGTCCCATGAATCGACTCTGGTATTGATATTGAAAGCTAAAAATGTTATGTTTCTTCCCATAACTTAACTATATAAAATTTAACAGAACCTCAGTGGAACCTGACTTAGTTTATTTGACATTTTTGCCAGAACGCAGTGAGATCAATGCGCTAATATCACATTTGTTGTTCTTCCACATTGAACACAAAATAGTGCCATTGAATAATGTATAGTTTTATCACATACATAACAAAAAAAGTTTGAAAACCCCCTAATCTGGATAACATCCCTCTATCTATACTTCAATTAAATAAATAGAGGCCTGCTGTCGTAACGAGACTAAATGAGGAAACAACAGAGGGGTATGAATAACTTGTCAGGACACTGAAAATGATCCCTCTGGTTTCCCGTTGCAACCTAAAAAGCCTCTAAACCTAGTTTACAGTAACAGGAGCTCCTGCTCCCAAAGATCAGGGTTTGGTTCCTTTTTAATATGTTTTACTGGTTTAAAAAGTTAAGCATATTTCCATAGGTGGATTTTAGAGTTGTTTCATGTTTTATTATTTGCTATAATACTATGGCGGAATTTGAATGCCTAATATAGGCAAATAAACAACCTCGAAATTGATTATACAACTTATTATTCATGTGACTGTATTGTTTCAATTAATATGGGATCTTGGTATTATTTGAATGTAAAGATAAAATAAGTAACACACCAAAATGGAGCGCTAAAGAGTCATGGAGGATGTCTACATTTAATTGACCGGCTTCTGTTTGAGGTCTCATCCTTCCTGCTGGAGCCAAATATCTGCTTAGGATGACAGATTAAGAGTCGAGGATTTGATGCAGTCGCTCGGCTTCGCTCCACAAATCACTTTTACTTTTGGCTTTATAAGCTGAATATGACAGCAGCGTATTACAGTATGAGTCAGAAGGAAATGTATGGAATTTAAATTCAATGAATGGACTTTAAATTGATGTTTGTCTTCAAGTGTCTGAAGGTAACATTTGTAAATTTACACAGCATGAATAGGAAAATCAATTGAAAGATGAGAAAAAGAAAATATCTACTATACAAGTACATTTTTCATCTGTAATAAATATATAATGCCTGTTTGCTTGTTTTGTTTCCTTCACACTCTACTGTTGATTTTAATTTATCTATAAATTAAAATCAATGTTGTGTATCACAGAAAATGAATAAACTTAAAATAGTGTGTTCAATAATAGATTTGTCGAACTTAAATTTAAATAACAAAAAAGCAAGTTTTGTCATCTTTAATGTTGAATTAAATTTTTTTTCTAATGATTTATAAAATAATATAAAATAAATAAGATGAATTCCAACAGTTAAACAATTGAGTTTTTTAATTCTCCCCTTTATTATGCAAGAACTGAATATTTGTCTCTTTTGGGATTATTAAGGTGTAATTCCATTCAATTAAAAATTTCCACAGGCACAGCGGTGCAGCATTTAATTCAATCTTAAAACATTAGCTAGAGGCTAAAAAGCAATTGAAAACAAATAAATCAAGGCTTGGGTTCATGCAAATACGTCATTTTCATGCACATTGAATAAACTTGCATAAATACTTTCTACATTCTGTGGTTCAAACCAATGTGATAACAGTTACAGCCTAAAGGTACAGCCAGCATTAAGCTTTTTCTGCATTTTGTTTGTGCTTCCTCTTTAAATATCCCTACAATGGGGTGGGTTTAGTTGTACCATTATTGCTTTGGACAGCACGGCATCGAACCACTGCTGCCTTTTGAAAACTGATACAGTCCATTGCATAAAGAGTGAAGTGAAAGTAAACAAAGAAGTTCATTCAATACATTGAAAAGTCTGCTTTCCCAGACGCTGTAAAACTGAAATGTACACATCGCTGCCTCTGGTAAGTGCATTAATGCTCAAATGAATTATTCAAGTGGTAAAATAAGTTTCCATCAGTCTGATGAAAAACAAACTTGTGCAACTTTCATGCTTAGGTTTCCTTCAGATTATTGGTGCTTTCAGCTCTGAAGTCATGAGGGCTACTTTAGTAGCTTCTCATTTAGCATCACAACAGTGGGTGCAAAGTGTCTCTCTGTGATAAAGTCCCCAGCTATGATGTTAAGAGAGCCCAGTTTAGAGCCGGGGGTCTGCTCTCTGACCCAGGCGAGCAGCGCCGGATAGGTGGCCATCACCAGGTCCTTCAGGGACTCTGTGGGGTGGGTGCAGATGTACTTTAGGTCCTCCGTCAGGTTAATCCCAGTGACAAAGAAACCACCTGAAGAGCATAAAGCATGCATTATACACCTGTGCTCTATCATTTGAAGTCATGTAGGGATAGTCAGCAGGTTACCTGGTCTGCCATGTTGTTTTCTTTCCTCAAACTCCTCAATAAGAGCCTCAGCTTTGCACTTGTTGGCCCACCAGTAGGGAATATGAGGCCACAAGTCGCTGTGAGAGCTGGAGATGTTGTGTTCGTAGGAAACAATCACCTGGTAGCCCAAAGCCCACAGATTCTGTAGAGTTAACACTTCCTGGAATGGAGGTTAATCAGGGTTAGTAGATGGTGGCGATTCCTCTACAGTCCTCATTCTATGCTAGTCTGATGTTTGGATTTGCATGCAATGACTGAAATGCATACAACACTCCCTCAGGAATACATTTTCTCTCAGAAAAAGCAACTGTACCGTTTTGGGGCAGAGTTTGGAAGTGAATGTACTGCGTATGGTTGCGAGCAGACGGATGTGAAGCTCCTGGTTCAGACCGAGGAAGTGGCTGAAGGACAGAATCACCACCTCTTTGGGATGAGCATCCAGCCATTCCTTTATCTCCATCAGGATGGTCTGTCAATAAGATGGCGAGACGTCATTTATGGCTTTCTTTGTAGAAACCTCACAGAACCCTAAACACACAGTGATGCATGATGGTGGCAGCATCATGCTGTGGCGCTACTTTTCTTATGCAGAAATTATGGAGTTAAAAACCGATATTGAAACACCACTGGAAACCAGGTTTTCATGCAGGCCGGGTATTTGGAAGGCAAGTCTGTTACAAAGGATCAAGTTTCTGATTTCAGCCTTCGTTAAACATCATGTTTCTGTTTGAAAAATGTATTTAGTTTATTTTCATAAAGAAGACCTTCTAAAGCATGCTATTTTGAATCAGAATTTACATTCTGGTACTAAAAAAAAACTAATATGAGAGTTAAAGGAGCAGTGAAAGAACAACAATAACTGATCAGGCTGGAAACTTTAAGAATGTCTTTAACCTTGGTGCTTAAATAGCTGCTGTCCATACAATAGCAAGCTTATCCAAACTTATCAGCCCTCTTTGCCAAAAACACGCTTATCTCTCTGTATCTACATGTTTCATGGTAATCATACCAGCATAGATTTAAGTACTGGCCCACTTATTAAAAAGTCACTTTGACTTAATATTTACTTTTGAGATTACAAGTCATACACTTAGACTTGTAAATGAGTGACTGTGTCTAAATATTTGCTTTACACCATAGATATATATCCAACATTTAAAAAATGAGTTAAAAAATAGGTAAAATTAGAAACCTTGTGGTTTAAAGTCTCTTTCTCAACAGGTAAATCTAACTACATTTATACCAGTTCCATTCTAAATACAGCCAACATGGTTTATGTATAATATAATTATATTTCTAACACAGATTTTTTGTTAAAGGAAATGGCATAAGGAGCTCATGGTAAGAACAGAAAAGTCATTGACAGTATTTTTTTTTTTTTATCTAAGATGCTTTAAGTGTGAAAACACAATGATCAATCTCTAATATTTCCAACACCATTTTCTTCATTGTTTGGTAAATAAAGAGAGCCACTAAGCCTAGCCTGCAGACCCCTGATCTAAAAGATTAACATTCTTATTTTTTTTTTTTTTTTCATTTAAACCACAGATTCCACAAGAGAAGGAAATTTTAACTTTTTGTCCAGAGCGGAGGTCTTCAACAGGTGGTCCGCAACCCATAGGGGGTCCACAGAGTTACTGCATGGGGGTCGCATAAGTTTTGGTTGATTAGACTTTTTTTTTTTTTATCCCCCCCTGCAATTTTTTCCACTAATTGAAATGTCTTTAAATCCACATTAACATGAATTCAACAGACTGTAGTAAACAGATAAATGGAGGCAGAAGATGTCTTTCAGTCATCAATGCACACATTCAGAGACACACAGGAGCTCTTTCAAGCTGGGCACCGTTTCATTCACAACACCTGTCCCATCAACCAGGAATCACAATCAGAAATACTTTAGTTACTTAGTCCTCGACGCAGGCGACCCGGGGTCGAATCCAGCCTATGGTCCTTTCCCGCATGTCTCTCCCCCTCTCTAATACCCCCTTTTCTGTCAGCCTACTGTCGAAAAAACAAGCCACTAATGCTGTAAAAACTCAAAAATATATATATATAATAATCCCAGGACAAAATTACTTGACTCCATCTGTAATAGAGTGACTATAGGACCAGTTTGATAGAACACAATTTCATACAATATATATAATTAGGGGGTCCCTGCTCCATCTCACCATCAGTTTGGAGGACCTTAGCCCGGAAAACGTTGAAGACCCCTGCTCTAGTGCAACATAAAGCACCAAATGGAGTCAGATTGATGATGGAATAAAATGAGGGTAAATATTGGGGAAATTTTCAACAAATGGAGCGAGTTCTAATCCTCCCCAGGAATGTAAATGCTCATCTTTTTCCTAAAAAGATACAAAGTAACTTTAATGCTTATAACTTTCTTACCTTGGTAGCTGTTACGCTGCTAAACAAAATATCTGTGCAGGGGGGCAAACATCTACATGTACAAAAACTAAAATTTGCTGCATTCTCCTTAAAAGGGATGTGTACGAATTGCTGACATCTAGTGGTGAAATTGAGGTATTTCCCTCAAACGTGCACTACCCTATAGCGCACCAGTGCCTCAAACACATTTAACTGTCATGACGCTTCACAAACAGGTGACCAGCCTTATGTATAAACGAAAGTAAAATTCTTCGCTTATGAAAATGTAACCAATTATTAGAGGAGGTAATAATAACACATATATAAATGCAGTCATCAATTTCAGACACTAAAAAAGATACATTGTTACACAATCCTTTAAATAATAAACCTTACTTGTAAATAATTGTTGAAGTAAACTGTAAAGATTAAATTAAACTAAGGGGCCTATGACTTCCAGCCTTTTCTGTCATGGACTTTATCATAAAAAGAAATAGATTTATAATGTTTTTATGTTTTCAGTGCATAACAATTCAATTCAGTTCAGTTTATTTCTAGCGCCATTTCACAACACGTCATCTCAAGGCACATTACAGTTCACACAGTCAAATTGATTCAAAGTTTCCTATCTAAGGAAAACCAATTGATTGCATCGACTTGTTGACTTGAAGGCAATCCCTCACACTAAGCATGCTTGGAGCGACAGTGGAGAGGAAAAACTACCTTTTAACAGGAAGAAACCTCCAACAGAACCTGGCTCAGTGTGAGCGGCCATCTGCCGAGGAACCAGAACTAGTTCTACCTGGGCCCTGGTCCCCACTGGCCCCTGTCTAGAAACTCCCATGGCAAAAAAACAAATAAGGTTTAAAGGGGTTAAAACAGTGGTTCCCAACCCTGGTCCTCGGGGACCCTAGTCCTGAATGTTTTAGATAGATCTCTGTTCCAGCATACCTGATTCAAATGAGGGTTCCTCCTCTGTAATCAAGTGCTGCAGAAGCCTGTTAATCATCTTTTCTTGTTTGATGCAACAAGGGGATACCTTAACCATGCAGGACAGCAGTCCCTGAGGAACAGGGTTGGACAGGAACCACTGGACTAAAGGCTGAGGAGGATAAAGTTGACTGTGGTTTGAAAAGTCAGGCCGACCCTGAGCTGTCAACATTGTTCCTGCAGAGCAAAATTCAGGAATATAAGCACTGCAGAGGCTGAGAAAGCTTTGGAACTGAGGTGTTAATAAAGGCTGAGGTGAAAGGAGCTCAGAGAGCCAGATTATTACACTAACATGCACTTTACTTCCTTCATCTGTGGCTTTTATATAGAGCCTCACTTGTTTTTAGATAGGATTGTACTCTGAGGAGTTTTTATATCAGAGGTAAAAAAAAAAAAAAAATCACGACTAAAACCTTTTTGTTTTTACCTTACCTCGACAGTGAGTGTGGTGTAAACACCGTGGTAGAAGTACAAGTCAGAGGAGTGGTCGTTGGGTCTGTGTGCGATTCTCAGGTCGCAGTATCTTACCCCACAGTCCAGCTGCTGCTTGATCGTAACCTCCTAGAAACACACAGAACGCACAGCTCATTACGGCGGAGCTTCAGCACCATGAGGTTGGCCTCAACAGTGCGTTAAATTCTAGCTTTATTACTTGCGTTATTGCCCACTTGTAAACAAAAGGGCGAATGAGCGGCTTCATGTATTTGTCCAGCTTTTGAAGCATGTCTGGCTGCATCGGGTCGACGGGAGACCTGTCGTTCATGTCCAGGCAGTATGTGATTGCATTGTGGCTGCCTAAACGGGAAATCATTTGGTAATTATGAGAAGTACTGCAGTGGTTCAATGAACAGAACCTTGAAAAATGGAATCTCATTCCTTGAACTTTTGTCATATTTTATCAAAATATAACCTTAAACCTTTTCAAAATCCAAACTGTGGCATGCCTAATGATTCCCCAGCCAGGTCAATAGATTTAACAGCCCATTTAGTGGCTTTACACACCTAAAGACTGAAGTTCCTGCCTGTTCTTTCAAGCAGAATAGCTCAAGCGTAGTGAGATTGGATGTTTTAGAAGTGAGTTTTTAGGGATATTTTTTGGTGAACATCACTTTTCAAGCCTTCCAGTATTTTTCTGTATTTACCTCCACCCTTTTTCTCCTCAACCCTGACTATCTTTCATATCACTGCTGCAGAAAAAGCCTCCTAACAGCATGATACCGCCATCACAGTGCTTCAATTGGGGGATAATAACTGTTAGTTTTCTATACATATTTGCATTGTTGTCCAGCAGAGGTGGGTAGAGTACCCAAAAATTTTACTTAAAAGTGAAAGTAAAAGTAGAACCACTAGATTACATATTTTCTCAAGTAAACATGAAAAGTAGCCAATTTCTTAAAAGATAGGAAGAAATTAAGCAACAGTAAAACTGTATTTGGTCATAAGGCTACTCAAGAACTGAATAACTGATCTATAAATATAACAATTAATTTCATATTTTATAAAATGATTTAAAGTAAAAAAAAATTAAATAAGATTCAAATTCCCATGTCCCAAATTCCCAGTGCATTATATAAACATATAATATACAGTAATTAAACTATAAGAAATGTAGGTGGAATGAACACTAAATATATCTTTTGAGTTATATAACTTACTAAATCAATAGTTAATGTAAGAATAGGTTAAATTACAGTATAATGTTTATTATATTTTCCCTCAACTTCCAAATGACATGGCAGATAGAAAATAACATTTAACCAATAAGTCTTGAGTAGAAAAAAAAGATTTCTCTGGGGCATATTTCTTAAAAACAAGCTTGTTTTGATGTAGGGAAATAAGTCAAACTGGATGGACTAGTCAGAAATTCTACTCAAGTAAGAGTAGAGATACTATTTTTACCCAAGTAAAAGTACAAAGTACAATAATGTAAAAGTAGTCAAAAATTACATTTTTAAAAAACGCACTTGAGTAGATTTAACTAGTTCCTACAAACCTCTGTAGTCCAAAATACTCCTTTTTATTTCCCCTTGAAGATATTTGCTGGGTTATAAAAAAAACTTTTAACAATTATTCTTATGCTTTTATTTTTAGAAAATCCAGTTGTGTAAACTAATTTATTTTTATTATGTGACTTCTTCATTCATATAAGGTTACATGAACTATTCTTTATACATTATGGCATAAAATCCCTTTAAAATACATTGAGGTCTGTGGTGGAAGAAGCTCAAAGGGTAAAAATGAATCACTGTGAATGAAATATATATAAAAAACACTTTCTTCTGATTTTTTTTTTTTATCATTATAGTTGCTTAGTTCTTTATGGTGCCATCCTTTGATCTCTTCCTGTTTGCTATAACTCCCTCATCTCTTCCTCAGCACTGCAGAGGGGTGAGGTGTGGATCAGCCTACCGGGGATGGCCAGGTGGTACAGCGGGGTGTCCCACAGGGCACATGGCAGGTGAGACATCCAGCTCTCCATGGGCAGCTCCTTCAGGCTCAGCTCGCTGCACTCGGACATGCTGAGATCTTCCTTTAAAAAACACACATTTGTGAATATGCATGGTAAAGGTGAGTATTTAGTCTATCTGATGCATCATTCAGTTTAATTCAGTTCAGTTTATTTATATGGAGGCTTCACCAGCTCATACCGTCAAATTGATTAAAAGTTTTCTATCTAAGGAAAACCAGTTGATTGCATCAACTCATTGACTTGAATGCCATCCCTCACACTAAGCATGTTTGTAGTGACAGTGGAGAGGAAAAACTTCCTTTTAACAGGAAGAAACCTCCAGCAGAACCAGGCTCAGTGTGAGCGGCCATCTGCCGAGGCCGACTGGGGTTCAAGGAGACACATGCAGAGATACAGAAAGCAGCTGTTAAAGGCGCCCTGTCCAGGAAACACACAGCCAGGCAGAGGAACTCTGAGCCAACTCCCATATCAGAGGATGAAGAGAGCACATCCAGCCAGCCACAGTCAGAGAAACAGGACTACACTGAAAAACAGCATCTATAAACAAAGGTGTTGAATCATGAATGGGATGTTTCTTTGCCACTGCATTCTATAATGGTGAGAGGTCAGAATTAGACTTTTCTGAGCGGTAAGTTGTGCAGAGTGCAGTCTGTCAGAAGGGCCCAGTAACATGAGAGGTGCAGCTCTATTTTATGTCACTCTTACTTTTTAAAACCCGCTGCTGTTTTCTCCAACCGGCCGAACCAGCGAACAGGGTGTCAGCGCTGACTACAGCAGCCCATCCCGCAGAGCCCCGGAAACAGAGCTGATTTCTGCACGGCCATCAGATTCAACTCATCGGAGGCGATCCGGGAAGTAAAGCGGGTAAAGATCGGCCGCTTCCGTCCTCATCAGCTCAGTCCGGTCACCTTATTCCCCCCGCGTGAATCCAGGGGCTGGAGGCGCATCTTTAGTCCCGATTCTCGATGTTTTCCTTGAGTTGACTTCCTCAGGTGAAGCTGTCCTGCTGCTGCTGTCCCGCCGGGAGATGCAGCAGGAGGATGGTGCAGCCGGATGACCGATCAGCAGATAGGAGAGGCAGCGCTCTTAAAGAGCCCTCAGATCAAATGACATGAGGGACACTTTCAGAGACAGTAACACAAACAGTCTGAGGCGTTTACTGGCCTCAGATCAGAGCCAGAGACACCTGGTGGGAGCTTAATGAGGTGTGGCTCACAGGTACACTGCAAAAAAAAAGCAAGTAGCATTTACTTAGAAAAATACAACAGAGTGTTAGGGCCAGGATAGAATTTTTTTTCTATTTCGAGAATAAAAGTCTAGAAATAAAGTCGAAAAATTACGAGAATAATGTCGTAAAATTAAGAGAATAAAGTTGTAAAATTATGAGAATAAAATCATAATATTATGAGATTAAAGTCGTAAAATTACGAGAATAAAGTCGTAATATTACGAGAATAAAGTCGTAAAATTAGGAGAATAAAGTCGTAATATCACGAGAATAAAGGCATAAAATTATGAAAAAGAAAGTCTTAAAATTACCAGAATAAAGTCACAACGAGTATTTAATAAAATTACCAGAATAAAGTCGTAAAATTACGAGAATAAAATCATAATAAAATGAGAGTAAAGTCGTAAAATTACGAGAATAAAGGCGTAAAATTATGAAAATAAAGTCGTAAAATGACCAGAATAAAGTCACAACGAGTATTTCATAAAATTACGAGAATAAAGACCGTAAAATTATGAGAATAAAATTGTAAAATTACAAGAATAAAGCTGTAAAATTAGAAGAATAAAGTCGTAATATTACAAGAATAAAATCATAATATTATAAGAGTAAAGTCTAAACATTACGAGAATAAAATAGAACAAAATTGTAAAATTACAACAACAAAGGCGCAAAATTATGAAAATAAAGTCGTAAAATTACCAGAATAAAGTCACAACGAGTATTTCATAAAATTACGAGAATAAAGTCGTAAAATTATGAGAATAAAATTGTAAAATTACAAGAATAAAGCTGTAAAATTAGGAGAATAAAGTTGTAATATTACGAGAATAAAATCATAATATTATAAGAGTAAAGTCTAAAAATTACGAGAATAAAATAGAACAAAGTTTTAAAATTACAACAACAAAGGCGCAAAATTATGAAAATAAAGTCGTAAAATTACCAGAATAAAGTCACAATGAGAATTTCATAAAATTACGAGAAAAAAATCGTAACATTACGAGAATAAAGTTGTAAAATTATGAGAATAAAACCGTAACATAACGAGAATAAAGTCATAAAATTACGAGATTAAACTAGAATAAAGTTGTAAAATTACAAGAAAAAAGGTGTAAAATTATGAAAATAAAGCCATAAAATTACCAGAATAAAGTCACAATGAGAATTTCATAAAATTACGAGAATAAAGTCGTAACATTACGAGAATAAAGTCGTAAAATTACGAGAATAAAATACATTACGAGAAAAAGTCATAATATTACGAGAATAAAGTCGTAACATTAGGAGAATAAAATCGTAACATAACGAGAATAAAGTCATAAAATTACGAGAATAAACTAGAATAAAGTTGTAAAATTACATGAAAAAAGGTGTAAAATTATGAAAATAAAGCCATAAAATTACCAGAATAAAGTCACAATGAGAATTTCATAAAATTACGAGAATAAAGTCATAACATTACGAGAATAAAGTCGTAAAATTATGAGAATAAAATACATTACGAGAAAAAAGTCATAAAATTACGAGAATAAAGTTGTGACATTAGGAGAATAAAATCGTAACATAACGAGAATAAAGGCATAAAATTACGAGAATAAAGTTGTAATATTACAAGAAAAAAGTCACAATGAATATAGTCCTTAATTACAAGATATACATGGATTGCATGTGATTAATTTCCAATTATGTTTAATATACTCAGCTATATCTGTCCATAAATCCATATGAATCTAACCCATTGTATAGAGTACAGGCATGTCTTGAAGACATAAAAACCTGGATGACTTGGAACTTTTTGCTTCTGAATGAAGACAAAAAAGATCTCTTACAGACAGACATCTAACGATACTCATGAAAAGTTAATGTAAAGGGCAATTAAAAAAAGTACACATCACCTTTTGGGGTTAGGGTTATCAGTTATTTAACCTCTTCATAAAGCAAAACAACAAAAAATTGTTTTTGTCAAAGGATGCACAGTCACTGTCCTAAAACAGAACAAATAGTACTTTGTGTCTGTCTTTGCACTAGAATCGCTTTCTCAGGTCTCCCTGAGCTTCTTCAGCAGGACGATAAATCCTGAAACAGCACAAACCACTGGAGGGGAGAAGCAGTCTACATCACAGTGCTTTTCAACAATTCAAAGCATTTTGCTCAGTTTATATCAACTACATTTTTTTTATGTCAAGCAAAATATTGAAAAAAAAAAGAGTTAAATCAATTTGATTTGGTGTCAAAATTCAATTCAATTCAATTCAGTTTATTTATATAGCGCCAAATTCACAACACATGTCATCTCAAGGCACTTTACAGAATTCTGAATCTCTACTTTTTCACATCAAAACTTAACAGCGTCTTATAATTTCGTCTTATTCCCCTGTTCCTACAACTAATCCTCTACTTATAACTTCCAGGCACGTCGTTAAACCACAAATCCCTGGTTTAAATCTTTAGGGTTGGCAATGCTGCTCCCCTGGTGATCAATTCAGCGAGCTTAAACAGTTCACAGAATAATCACTGACTGGAATAGCTCTATTAGCACACATTTTTAATAACTTAATCATTTTAATTTAGTATTTTAGTACTGACGTAAGAGACAAAACCAAGTTCTCAGTCATCTTTACTACATTAGTTTTGTGCAGAGGTTTAAGAAAAACAACATATACCTTCCTTTAGGTCGTCCCATATTTAGATTTAGTTAATGCATCATCTATTTTTTTTTTTTGTTATTCAGGTTCAGATTGTTTGGAAACATCTTTTTAATTACTTAATCTAGGACATATTTTAGATATAGTAACCAAATGTTTATCTTCTGCAAATCCTGAAAGGTACCCTGGTGCTGTGCCATAAAAACAGCCAAAACCACCAACCCTCCACCACCGTACCTAACAACCGTGGTGAAACATAACAGCTGCCCCTATTTTGGTTTCATTGATTCAAAGATATCACATAGAATGCAGTATTGCACTAAGTTTAGCTGGACATCTGAAGATGGACTCACTTTTTAGGACCTCTTTATTTCTGATGAAGCTTCAGAATATTTGAACTTGCTTTTTCTAATATTTCAATATTGAACTTTATCCTGTGTCTGATTTTACTTTCACCGTGTCCTACAAAGGCATTCAGACACGTTCAATTATTTTTTTAAATAGCTAGAAATCTCTCACTGCACACTAACCTGAAAAGTGTGATCCATGGTGATGGCAGCATCATACTGTGGGAAGTGTTCCCCATGACCCACACTGCAAATATTATCTAACAAAGTCTAACAATCTTAGATCTGACACCAAGATTTCAAGATGCAATCATTCTGCTGAACTGACAGATTATTGCAGAGGTCTTCAACAGGGNTCTTTCAGTCATCAATGCACACATTCAGAGACACACAGGAGCTCTGAGAAAAATTGTCTTAAATAATTATTAGGATTTGCCAATGGAATAAGTATTTTTACTCTTAAAATAAGATAATAGATAATATGCACTTGAAATGAGACAATGCAATTGTTTTTTCTTACTTTAAATGTAAATTGTCTTGTTCCATTTGCAAAGTGCCTGACTTACCTCAATTCAAGAAAAAAAAGCACTTATTTTAAGGAAAGATTACTTATTTAATTTTTTTGTAGTGGCAGGGGAAAATTACTTTCGTTACATGACTCCATCTGTAATAGAGTGACTATAGGAACAGTTTGATAGAACACAATTTCATACAATATATATAATTAGGGGGTCCGCACTTCATCTTGCCATCAGTTTGGGGGTCCTTGGCCTGGAAAACTTTGAAGACCCCTGGATTATTGGATTTATTTTGAGTAGAATCTTCTCCAAAGCAGATTAATATTTAATAGAATTCGCTCCTAGTTAGCAAATAAATCTTAAAACAAGATCAAATGTTTTGTCTTGATATAAGGGTGTAAAATTTGGTTAGATGGACAGTTTTTGTAGTTAGGCAGGGAAGCTGGTCGTATTTGATCAGATCTTGAGAACTGATCAATTATTCCTCCAATAATGGAACTATAGAGGAACTTAACAAATACCATTAAATGAGTTTGAAGCCAAGCTGACAGACTGCAAGGAATGCATTAAAGGTTTTTTAAGTTTTCAAAAGTCAATCATAGCCATATGAATAATAAACTATGTAATAAAATATTACTTGTTTTCTATTTCTATTCCCAGGCCTTCACCAGACCCAATGCAAGCCATTTCATGCAGTGTCTGTATCACTGCACTCGGTGCAGTTCTTAGTAAGAAAACCAAGGTAATATATTTATCAGGATATGGGGAGACTTCAGCTCAGAGAGCAGACGTCATAGGGATTCCTCAGACATGTATGAATAAAAGTTAATACCACTATGGGTATAATTCTGGTGGATGAATAGCATTGTAACATACTGTAGTTCAAAGCACATATTTTGCATGATATAGAAACTTTAAGCAAAGAAGCAGCCAAGAACTCTGGGGCAACTACAGTGATTCATAGCCCCGTTAAAAGAACAAGTGAATCCATAGTTGTGTTAATCACCAGCAAGGCCTTTATCGAACGTTTGGAAAGATTTTGCAGTTTTCCTGCAAACATGAATTGGCCTAGTCAAAGTCAGGACCTACAACCAGGAATTTGTGTCATAATCATATTTCTATGGTTTTCCAGAAAGTACATCTCTAAATTTCAGTTGGATATTTTGTCTCTTATTAAGTTAAGCCACCTGATTTAATGTTATAGTGATCAGTGTGACAGCAATTAATTGCAAAGTCAATATTTGCCTAGAAAATGAACTTTATCCCCCAAAACACATTTCGTCATTGCAGCCCTGCCTTAAAAGCACCAGCTAACATCGTTTCAGTGATTGCTCCATTACACAGGTGTATATGATTGCAATTGTATTTCTGTATGTGATGACATCTGACATACACACATGAAAACCAGACGGCAGCAGGTCATGTGAAAATATATTTGTGT